TCGGCTCGTTTACACCCCTAACAGTATTCTTAATTCAAATGAATACAATTGAAGATTTTAAAAGTTGTTCTTTATGATCATTAGATAATATTCAAAGAACTTTGACATATTATAGTCATTTTTTTTAGTAACGTGCATGTAGAAAATTAGGTATTATCAAAATCAATTCTTCAAAACTAATCAAATTTCTTTAACCTCAACCATAATAATTTCCATACCAATTTTTGGATATATCAATATTTAGTTAATCTGACGATTCCTTCAATGGAAGACCAAATATTAAGGCAAATGAAAATAAGGTATTTTGATTCATAATTTTTTATGAATTTTAGGAAAGTAAATTAAAACTAGAGCGTCATAGGATTATTCTTAATTTTTTTTAGAAGGATAAAATCAAATCTCTCATTTGAGTTAATAGGTTGATTTTATTTTTGTTAAGGACAAAAGCCTATCTCAAATTATTTATTAATGGGCATAAGGCAAGTAATATAAAAATTTTTAAGAAGAGATACTAAAGGAGAAAACCTTTGATATATAAGCCAAATGGAATGCATAACATCGATAATATAGATTATTCTTTCAGTACGGAAGATCCCAGAATATATTGCGCTTCATCCAATTTTGCGTGACACTGAAATCGGGAAGACGAGTTGAAGCTAGCTTTGGTCTCTTGATGATCTTTAGGACTTCACTGATCATCTCAAATATTTCAACTCCTGTAATCCTGGAGGGTGGACTTGATCTCTCAACCCTTGTTTTGAAGAATGAATCTCTGTTCCTTCTAAATTGGTGATTGTTGTTTATAAATTTTCGGTTGCAGTTAAACCAGCTGCCTTTCCTACCATATTTTAGAGCAAATGCCATTGACATATCCTTGCAGCAAAAACAAGCCAATTTTTCGGCTGTGCTCCAACCAGCTAGCATCCCATAGGCCAGAAAATTACTAGTTGTCCACATAAGAGCTGCTCTCAGTTGAAAATTTTACTTTGTAGCGATGTCATACATAAGCACACCCAGCTTCTATAACATTTGAAGCTCTTCAATCAAAGGTTGTAAGCAGACTTCAATTTTCCCCAACGGGCTATATTGATCTGTATGATCAACATAAAAAATAAGAACGACACGGTCATGCACATATCGAAGGGCAAATTGTACTGCGTGATGATCATTGGCTAGCATGAGTATGCGATTGCAGCGTGACTGTACGGGATGGAGCCATCCGCACAAAACCCAAGTTTAACATTGCATACTTCAGCTGCAAAATCTGGGTAAGTACGGTCAAAATGTCTTCACCCCTCACCAAGTGATGACTGTCTTATCGAGTTAGCATCAACACATCTAGTACTGTGCCAAGTCATGTGTGGGATTATACACATCTAAGCGAATACTCTCTGAAGTCGAGTTGAGGAGAAAATAAAAGAGATGCTTATGTGGAGTATTTCTTTATTTTTATTCTTTTTTCCTCTTTGTTTGAATTTATTTTTATCACAAAATCAACAAGTCTTTTCGACTGCATCAGCCTTGTAATAGATCATGCATCCATTAACACAATAAATCAATCTTCTCCCATTGTAACCCTTACTTTGAAACTAATTTTTTCATTATGTACAGGTAATCCAACATTAAATTCTCTGCAGACTAAGTTTTTTTTCGATAAAGTTATCAACTAATTGAAATCAGATTTGATGGTCAACATTCTCAGCGCCACTGATAAATCTATATGTATAGTGCAACCATCACATAAAGTTTATTGTGAAGCATTCAATAAGTCATGGAATTGTTGTGATTCTTTATTTGGTGTTTCAAGTTCGTGTTGAACGCTTCCAACAAATTGAGCGCTCTGAGCATCATGAACCATTTTTTCATATGTACCAGAATAAAATTCCTTTGAACGGGGGCAAAACTTGGCGAGGCACCTCCTTGATCGAATTGAGCATTAGGTTCTTGCTCACCATGTGCAATACCAATAATTAGGTTTGAATCCTTTGCGATAAGATCCTATTTAACTTCTTTGAGTGGCAGAAGTGTTTAGCATCAACTTACCCTCAGAACGATATATGGGCAATTGTGATGCTACCTGCACGAGTTCATCAACGTCATTCAAGAACTCATTTGTGAGTCCTTTTCATCCATGAATAATTTGTTATACATCCAAGCTCTCAAATTATGGATATCTATCTGCAACATATATGTAATTTTACAAATGAGTATAACTATACTACTAAAAATAAAAATGAAAGACTTGGGAGATATAAATATGAAGCTTATGTGTATGAAAATTTAAGTGTAATCGGCCAAATGAATCTCTTTTCTCCATTATATCTTATTGAGTGTCAAATTTGAAACATCTATCTTTTTTAAAATAAGTCAAAACTGAAACATCTACTCTCCTATTTTGGTCATCAGATAGTCAACATTTGACGTGACCAAATCATCTAAGTTGACACTCTCTAATCTTGTATGTCGTTGGACCTACTCTAACCTTTTCATGGATATATTCATTTCAAAATTTGTCTCTAAGTGTAAAGCCACTCATCCACCTTAACTTAATAGGTCTTATGCATTCAACTTAACCCTCACATTAAGACTTATGCATTCCTTCACTTCAACCATCCAACTTGAATTTTCCTAATAACATCCTCATCCATATCATCATTATTTTCAACAGTTGACCCGACATATCTAAAGTGCTCATTCCTTACAACGACTTGATCATCCATTGTTATAACCCCACCATTAGATCCACTATTAATAAAATTGCATTTAATATATTTAGTTTTAGATTTACTAAAACGAAAAATTTTAAACTCTATGGTTAACCTTCATAATTTAAAGTTTATGTGAACTTTTTGTATAACTATTCAAAAGAACGATATAATCAACAAAAAGCATACACCAATGTGCAGTCTTTTATAAATGTCCCGTAAGAACATTCATAACTAAAGCAAAAAAAAAAAAAGATACATACCTATTCACGTTCGAGCGAAGCAAAAGGATGAGAACTTCAGAAGTTTCGGTAGTCTCTGTAAGCCACACGTACGTCACATTCCCAGCTAGCTCTAATGGCCACTGTATTTTGAAGGTTCTTCCTGAAGGCCAACGCACTCGTGAGAGAGAGGGAGAGAGAGAGGTAATGAGAGAAGAGGTGACGCACGGGAGGGGGAGACGATGCTTTCAGACAGAGGGGGGATGAGCGGGATGAGGAGAGAAAGTGAAATTGAGGCGCACGTGCATAATAAATTAGGTTATTTGCATGGAATTTGCATGAATTTGTGTCTATTTAATTTGAAGCTAACAAGTAGTATTTGCAACATTTTTTTTTCGACCCAAAGTTAACGCAAAATCCATCACAAATCCAAAAGAAATTTTGTCATTTCCGAAACTCTTATACCAATGAAATATTCGACACAAATAGGGCACTAATTCTGATGCAAATGTCATGAAATATTCGACGCAAGGTACTAGAAGCCTTTTGGCTTTAATAACTTCAAAGTGAGAATAAAGTAAATTTAAAGTTTTGCAAAACAAATGTCAATAAATGAGATATTAATAAAAAATATTTAAACAAGAAGTCCAATTCAAAAGGATTAAAACAATAGAATTTTAAGTAAATAAATTATATTTATTCTATTTATCCTCATGATGATTTGATTTATGCATTAAATGTTCACTTGATTCTAGCTAGCAACTTAAGTCCAAGAATTAATGCAACATTGAAGGATAAAAAAGAAAACATTAAGTTTCATATCAATCCTAAATTTAAATTTATGTTTGTAGCTAGTGACCTATGACTACATTCTAGTAAGATAAAATCACTAAGTAATATGACAATACTACCTTATAAATGATAAAAAAAAATGAAAACAATTAGTAATTTAATTGTAGGTATGTGCATTGTTTGGCCAAAATAAATAATCAAATCAAAACTGATATTTGATTGATTCAATTAAGTTTTAAATATTAATTAGAATTTTTTGTTTTAAAAACTTTAATCTTCAGTCTTCCAGTTTTAGATTTAGCTTAAATATTCATTAAACCAATAAAAATCTCAAAAACTGAATAATAAAAAAGATAAGGAAATTAAATTCTATTAAAAAGAAAATAAATTAAGCAAATTACAAAATTTCTTAAGTTAATTTTATTTTTAAAGATTTTATCTAAAGAAAAGAAAAAGAAATGAAATTTTAAATTTTTAAATATAATTATAAGTCTTAACTATCTTAGGCAAAATGTTAAATTTATAATATCTTTGTGGCAGTTTGTGCGTTTCTGGATAAGTAGTTTATCTTGAAACGCGGCCCGCGGGTCTACTGCGTGGTTCGACCTGCGTCCTGCGTTTAGTATAAAAAACCAACCCCGTTTTCGGATAAGCGGACAAAACGTGCAATTCAAACAGTAGCGCGGCGTTTTCAAAAACTCTCCCTCACTTATAAGCTGCCCCAAACGGGCCCTTAGTTGGTTCAAATATATTTTTTTTTCTAGATTTCACTTTCATTCGATTTAACTAATTTATGAAACGTTTCACCTTTCATTACTCTAATTTTATTAAGTAGTATACTAAATACACCACTGGTGCTGATTAAAAACCTTGGAAACAGTAGAAAATTCAAATTGCAGCTTCTTCATGCAACCCTAATTACTTCACTCTGTAGCTGTTCCTGATCAGAATATGAATAAAACAAAAAACAATTAATAATGGGTTTATAATTTTGATCCGCCTTCTTCAAGATATCCGGACAACTATCGTGTTGCATGTACTCACAAATAACACGAGACTCTACGTTTCAAAATGATTCAACATCTACCAATTTGCATCATTCTTTATTAATAATACATTGGCATTGAAATATTTTCTTTTTTTTTTTAAATCTAGCTTGTCAGACATAAATAAAGTTGGATGTAAAGCAGCACTGTGCTTATTTGCTTGCTCCTGAATACAAATATAATATCTTTTGAATACTTTACTTCTTCAGGTGAGTGTGCCTGGAATCAATATGTGCTCCATTATGACAGTGAGGTGCGGGCACTGTTCCAATTTACTTTCAGTAAATATGGGAGGTTTTCTCCAGTCAGTACCTGCAGGATTTCTTGACCTTCAGGTTCTAATTATTAACTCTCCTATTCATAACTTTGGAATGCTTATAAGAAAATATAATGAAATAATATCATTGAATGGGATAAATGTTAAAATAAGTATAATAGTTTTGAGTTGTAATATTTTTTTAAACAACTTTTGGACTGTAAATCCTAATATTGTTAGTTGCATACATTTTTTTCTTATGAAAGAGCGAGTAAAATAACATTTAGTCACTCTTTTTTACATTTATATATATAAATCCGAAGGTAATTTCATTAATGAAAAGGAAGATGCAAAGCTTTTAGTGTATGGGTGCAAGCAGCCCACTCACAAGGTATACAACGCGCTTAAGACAATTCATCAAAAATGAAAAGTATGTCCCAAAAAAAATAACTAAAAAATCTTTGAAAAGACAAATATAAGATGCTCTGAGGTCATATGGAGAGATGGCTTCTTGTTTGGTGCAGAGAGTTTGCATGGGAGCCAATAAGACCAACACTGCAGCGATAAGAATGTAGCGCTTGATTTTATGGATTAATAAGTTAAAAGGCAAAAAGTATTTAATTAAATCATTTAATTACACAATAATCAAAAGGTGCTGTATGAAAAAGCTAAGATTGTAGCAATGTTTTCGTACACATTTTCAGAATAAAATTATCACTGATTAATATTCAGTAGCATTAGTAAAAAAAATGGTGATTTTAGCTCAAAAGCTATAGTAACAAGTAAATATGTGATAAAATTAAAAAATATAGACATAGATATGATATGTAATAGAATAGTAAATACTGTAAATATAATAGTGAAAATAAAAATTATTTTCTAAGCTAAAATCATTTTAATTTATAAAAAAAAAAAAAATCACAAAACTTGAGCTTCTAGTCAAACGATAAAAACCAACCAATGTAGCTCCCATAGAAGTGGTAGAGCTGCAGTGAAGATGGTGGCAGCAGCAAGGGAAGGGGTTGGGTAGAGTAGGAGACAGGCTATTCAAAGCATTGTACATAAATATTTTTTGTGGAAAGATAATTTACATATAATAAATTTAATTATTTCCTCAAGAATCACTAATTTGCAAAAATAAATATTGTTTGTTTTCATATGGGAGGAGGACTCTAATAGTAGGGAACAGACAAATGTGGATTAGTTATGGTTTATGTTTCAAGCATATTGGCAGCCTAAGAAAAACCTAATTTGCATATTGTTCATTCAATGTGTAGAGTGGCTTAATCTATTCTTTATGATGTGAAAAAAATGCTTACATTGATTTGAAAACATCATATGCCTTTTATTTTCCAAAGAACTGAGAAAATGCTAAGAAAGTTCCTTTTTTTTTCTTTGGTTCATTATATATATATAGCATTTTATGGAGAAATATTAACATTTGTGCAGAGAGCTGCTTTGAGTTTTTTAAGCTTGTCAGAAAAAATTATTCCGTGCGGACACAACATACAAAGATGCATGCGGTGTCTGATCTTCACCGTCGATTACGGCTTCGGTTGGACCTACTTATTCCATGCGGACACCGCATACAAAAAAAAAATTATTCCGTGTGGACACCGCATACAAAAAAAAAATCCCACCGAAGTCGTGATCGACGGTGAAAATCAGACACCGCAAATATCTCTGCATGCGGTGTCCGCACTGAATAATTTTTCGCACATATGTCCTTTGAACATAATATCAAATCCTATTTTATGCATTGCAGACAAAAGCAAGATTCCAATTTAAATATTATTTTTAATTATGCTTCTTGGGAAGAAATTTCAGGGCCACAATGTTGGGCCTGATGGCTTACATTTGGAACGAGAATCATCTTCAAGATGCAACAAGATTTCACTCTTTGATTCGATGGGCAATAACCAGCCAGACAAAATACCAACTCATGGTAAGTAATTAAGAATTGAGATGTATCTAGATCATCATTTTATCATTTTTAATTATGCTCATTAAATTAATTTTTGAAGTTTTATACTTTATTGTTATTTTTTTGCTTATATTTTGATTTGAAATAAAACTTATTTGATTTGTTTTATAATTGCGCTATTTGTTTTTTAGTTTTTTATTTTAATTTTTTGTTAAAAAAATTGAAACTCTAAATGACATGAATAAAATGTTCATTTTGCTAAAAAAAACATGCAACAATTTGTAGACATGTCAATTCAAAAATAAGGAGAAAAATTAGAACTTTGCTTGACAAAAACATGATTAGAAGTTGCTTATTATGATATTTATAATAGTATTGAAAAAAAATCATCTAAGCATAGAACAATTAAAAAAAAAGGTTTTTTTTAAAAATAAATTTAAAGAGATTGAAAGTATTTTTGACTAATGTATAATATACAAAGCAATAATGTTACATGTTACTATCTCACTTGTCATCACAGGAAATTTTGAAGTATACTTCATTGTATTCATTTAATTTATTCCCTTATATATGTTTAATAATAATAATAATAATAATAATAATAATAATAATAATAATAATAATAGTAATATTAATAATTTATTGTATTCACATGCATGCCAAGGATTTATAACTATATAAATAAAAATAAATCGTGCTCAAATTTTATCACTACTTATCAAGCCCTTTTGTCTTTCAAATAAACAGTATCAGAGAAGAGGCAACGTGTTCCTTCAGCATATAATAGATTTATCAAGTAAGTTATGTGTATATTCAAATCATCAATTACAATGCAAACATAAATTTAAAATTCTTTTAATCAATAAGCTGTATTGATTTGCTTGTATATGTAAAAGAGAGGAGATAAGAAGACTAAAAACCACCAATCCAGACATAAGCCATAGGGAGGCCTTCAGTGCTGCAGCAAAGAATGTAAGTATTATGAAACCTTTGCTAAATAGTATTATTTCCATTTGAAATTGACTATGAGTGCATGGCCTCCATTTACTGAAATTTTTGGAAAAATGTTCAACCAATCATCATAAATTTACATATTTTTTCATTGGCAATGTTATATGAAAAACGAGTGTATTTTTGTTTAGATAACAGTGAATCAATGGCATTTAGTTTTTGGTATTTTTTGAAATCCTAAATAATCCTATTTGCATCAAAACTTTTGACATATACATGTTGACATATTATTTCCATCAAATCATCAATGATATGTTTATAGAGGTTGAAGATATGTTTATTAAAAGATTTAAGACATGAACATGCACTACAGAGAACATGTTAGCGTCGTACAAACCTGATGCTAAAATAAAAATTGACACCAAATCTGATGCTATTTAACATATTTACGGTTGGAACACAAACATTAAGTTTTTTTTTTTTGCTCTCACTTGCCATTTTATTCATCATGGACATGTCCTTATTTTCCTCTATAATGAGAAATATGATTATTCAAAATGTTTTGCAAATAAAAGCATTTTACAGTAATGATTTTCATCTATTATGCATTAATTATATATATATGAATAATGGCCCAACTTGATGAAAGTAAGAAATCTCCCATCATATCAAAATAAATTTTCTTTCTAAGCTTAAGGATCCATTTATTCAAGTTCAAATGAAATTTACCTTCATATAAAATATAGATGTTTTCTTAAGATATATGGAACAAAACTCAAGATAGATATGTTGTATTATGATGGATTTATTTATTTTCTAACATCTAGCCACTAAAAGCTTTAAAATACTTCATTATTGGCATTGAAAAGTTGATTCATTCAAGAAAATTACTACAAAAGGTTAGCTTAGTACATTCAAGCTTTTTAATATTTATTCACAATAAAGTGCTTCAAATTTTGCAGCCACCAACTAGAGTATTCCTTACCTTATTTCCTCATCATGTATTCATATAATAAGTTAGTTTTTTATTTCTTTAACCACCATAATACCCTTTTCTTAGATACAACAACTTTTGGTTGAACACTAAAAATTGGTCTAGCTATGACCATTCTCTCTCTAACATATGTGATAAGCTTTTAGTTAAGTGTTAGATGCTTTGTAAACCTTTAACGTTATATTTATATGAGATTAAAAAATAATGGATACTCACCAAAATTTTCTCTTAAAAATACTTTTAATATTTTCATAGCATTTTCAATTTCATGATCATCACGTTGAGAATCATTTCAAGTTGTATTATTAATTGAAAATACAAACATATAAACATTTAGATGCTTCAAAAAGTGCTTGCTGATAACATAATTTTTTTTTAATTATACAGAAAGTGCAAGTTATGCCATCCCCTTATAGCAAGAGATGAGGGATATCAATAGCATGATAATGAAGTAAAGCATCATTATAGGACTTTAGGTTTTTTCCGACGGACACGTTCTATCGGTTGTGATAAGAAAAACTGTCGTTTTTAATATTACCGATGGTTTTAAGCTCGTAGATAAAACACTTGTCAGTAATTCTAAAACCGATCGATATTTAGACGAGATAAATTTATTGATTGTTGTTTGACAATTTAATGTCGTACCATTTTTCAAGAAAATTCGAGTCGCCGGTAATCGTCGGTTCATATAACCGATAGTTCTTTCGTTGGTAATAACGATGACATATACATCGGAAAAGTGTCGCACCCTTCGGTTTTTTGAAGCAGGTAAAACCTTCAGTTATACATCGTTTATGCGTCATTTTTTTGTAATCAACGGATTAACTGGCAGAAAACTTTCGCGCTCGTCATTTTTTGGCCCAGGGAAAAATCGTCGGTTAAGTATTGTTTATGCATTTTTTTTTTATAACTGATGGTTTAACTATCCGAAAAGTGTAGCGTCCGTAATTTTGTGTGACACACCTTGAGTCATTGGTTATGTGTCGGTAAAGATGTCCATGACTAGCCATAAGTTTTGCTTACTGATAAGTTTAAAACCGTCGAAAAACCGATGTTAATCTTTTGAAAACATGTAGTATAAGAAAAAAAAAATAAATTCTTTCTTTCATATTTACATTACCACATCTACTATCACAATATTTTATATACAATCCCAAACATTTAATGAAATAATATAGTTGTCAAACAGTAAATTATCCAATCAAATAATGAAATAAATAAAATGCATTTATTTTAAAATATGTTTATCACTGCTTACAGAAAAAATATATGTCTAAATGTACATAAACTATATATAAAAAACTCCTCTTAATCATCCTCCTCTATCTCGTCAACCTAATCCTCATTGGTCTTCACTGCTTCCTCCTCCTTTAATACTGTCTCATTCATTGTTAGAAGGAATCCAATTCAGTCTTCAGCTTGGCCTCCATGTTGGCCTCCAGCTCCGACCTCATCTGAGAGAAGCGGGCCTCCATCTCAGCAGAGAATTCTGCAACACGCCTATAGATCTCCTTATTCTGTGTGGTAGAGGTAGAAGTTGCAGATGCACTGGTAGAGGGGTGAGCGTCATAGGCAAACCTCTGCAACCTGAGCCCATAGACTCGACACTTCTTTTTCCCTTCAACAGTCGCGCTCCACAGGTCGCACTCGGAAGGATCACACTCATGGATCATAATACCTCCCAACAACTAGGATCAATTCTTCTTTAGCTGTTGGAATCTCTCCTACAAATAAAAGTAGTTACATTCAGTTAGTGCTAGCATGCATTAACATCAAACTAGATTAGCTTGTCAATTGCTTGGGTCGCACGAGATTTGTCATCGATCCAGGACTGGTTGGACCGCCTCCTATGAGTGCGCTCATGTACATCGGCGAACGAGGGCTCTCGTCCAATCTCCACATCGTAGAATGTATAAAATCTCACCAATCTTTGCTTGTATTCTGTATGTCAGAGAACCCACTAGTGTGCTTGGAGGGCCCCATGCCTCCACTGTCCAACATTCTATTCTGCTTTACCCGATCCCTCTTCTTCTGCTAGTCTAGAGAATCCCATGATATAAGCAACATGACAAAAACATCATCTTCGAGCCACAGTGGATGCTGTCGCAATTTTTGGATATTGCCACACATGTCTCAGAGACAATCACTGCCTTTGCACTTGAAGTTGTGTCGGATGTGTCTCATGCTCAAGACATCATGAGAATTATTTCTGTAAATATTATAGGGATTATGTTTAATTGATAAATTAATAAAAATAACTTAATTTATTTGTGAACGATACTTACCTCAAACTTCTAAAACCAAAGATCTCAAATGACTATCGGGATCTCCTTCCATGAGAAGTATGTTAAGTCATATATGCTCTGAATGATATTCTAAATGGCATGAATAGTCTGGGTTGGTGGGTAGAACCTTAAAACAATAATTTCTTAGTTTTATATTCAATTGAAAAAATAAAAAACATTCTGATAATATTATAAAAAAAACTTACATGTTGCTGACAGGCTAGAAACAGTAGCTATTGCTTGTCAACTTCTGCCTGATAGAGATAGAATGAGCCACTGATGCATTCAACTCGACTGTAGTCATGGTGGAGGTAAACGTGGGTGTAGCAGTAGCAGTAGGCTTTGGGTGGGGGTGGGTGTTACAATGGGAGTGGTGGCGGAGGTGAGGTCGGGGTGAGTATTGAGGTGAGGGTGGTGGCAGAGGTGAGTATTGAGGTGAGGGTCGGGGCGGTGGTGGGGGTGAGTTTGAGGGCAGGAACGAGTGCATAGGTGGGGGTAATGACGTTGTTCATGGTTGAGATAAGGGTGGGTTGAGTGTGGGAGTGGGTGTCGAAGTCGAGCGGTCTCTTCTGACGTTCTTCTTGGTCAAATGGTGTTGTGCATCCCCCTCCTCCCGAGTGGGGGAGACCCCCCCCTTCCTCCAGTCAACAATTGTAACAAGAATAATAATTTATTAATTAATGCACATAACACATACTATGTAATAAAATAAAATAGAATTATATGTAATAAACATAAAATACATAAGTATGCAATAGACAATTAGATGAAACGGTAAAGTGCGAGGTACTACTAAAATAAAAAATAGAAAACTACCTAATAAACAGAAATAGGAAGTTAGATGGAAGGTACAATAAACTTGCTCATCTTACTCAACATGGTCTTAAGAGTGGCTGGAAGATGTAGTCATGCTCTCTTCTGCAAATGCATTGTCGAAGTTATACTGATCACCAAGATCAATTTATTTGTATTCACTAGGAGCAACCTCTAGATTGAGCTCTTCATTGATTACACCAAATGAAAAAAAGAAACTTATCATTTCAATTTCTTGATGAGAAGGTTCAATGCTACTATGAATATTAATGGTGGCGCTTGGTTTACTCAAAATGAAAACCACCTAATCAACATTATCTCTTGCTCTATGTGGATATCAAAGACAGTAAATCTGACTCGCCTATCGTGCTAGAATGAAATGATCAAATTTAGCATATATTCTATTTAGTTTCACTTTTGTGATTCAAGTTATCCTTCATTTTTTCATTAACATCCATCACAGTGTTGAAAATATTATTAAAGAAATTTTTTTTCTATGTATGACATTCACATTGTATTTTATCATGGTATTCTTCTAACGTATTTTAAAAGGAGTGAACGTTTAGATAACTTTGAACTCTGAATGTTAATAGTCTGCTGAGGCTGATAGGGCTGTCAAAGATTGATTATTGACAAACATTTATCTATTTTATTTAATCTTGGTTGTCACTATAGCTATAACAATCCTTTCAGGAGTATACTTTTTCACAAATTCTCTATAAGTGTGAAGCCACTTATCCATCTAAGTATTCTTGTCTCAACAACTCTTACTAGAGCACTTCACATTTTTTTTAATAGTATAGTTAAAAGTTTGCGGGGACGAGGATGCTTAGGTTTATGATTGGCTCTTCATTCGGAGATAAAAGATGATAGACACATATCTGTATGAAGGCTAGTGTAGCTACAGTGACATACAATATTGGAAGGGG